TAAAAAAAATTAATTACTCCTTTTGTTTTACTTTATATTTTTTAAATTTAAATCATATGTAAAAAATAATATTATTATTAAAAATTACATTATTTGATTTTACGAGGCGATTATCATTTGCCCCATCTCTACCTTCGAAAATTCTTGATGGAATGAGATGAGAAGGGCCTCGCCGCCCGAACGACCCGAACCTACTCGGCTGGCATTATTCCCATCTTATTTACGTCATTTGATTTCAGCTAAAGGTCCATGGAATTTTACCAAGTTTCTTGAAACTCATAATGAATGCATGCTTTGAAAAAATATATATATACGACCTTATCTTGTAAAAAATAAATAAAACAAAGGGCCGAAGAAATTGAATTCAAACTTAGTTTCGTTTGACTAGTCGAGCTTCTGACAGCTGTTTCCTAACTTACAAGCCATGTGCTTGCTTGATATTACGTTTGTATTTTGTCTCTTCGTTTCAGCTTCTTGTTGAAATTGGTCAAGCGTTAAATAATTAAAAAACGATTTTCGTGTTAACTTCGATCAAATATTCGAACTTGATTCGATAATCAAATTATGAAAATATATAGACAACTTTTTTTATTCGTCGAGTAGATCGTTTTGGTATATTTCGAATCTCCAAACCAATTTTGAGTGAATGAAAATTTACGGTCTACAGTTTGAAGAAAAAAGAGGAAACTAACTGAAAATTTGTCCGTCGCTCGCCTAGCGCTCGAGCAATAGGTGAGCGACAGGTTTTCTGTTTCTAACGCTCGAGGGACGCAAGGACGACGTGCTAGTGATGGCAATAGCTACGATCCTTGCCAAATGTTACTGAATTTGGGGCACCGCACTTCACTTACAATCTTTCATTCTCTATAAATTAGACCCGAATGTCCATTTGTTTATCCCAATGATATGCAATCATAGTATAATATTAAATTCTATACCTAATTTCTGTATAAAAAGTTGTTTTTCCATTTTCATATGAAGGAGTACAAAAATCATTTTCGGTTCGTTGTTCATGTGTTTTAAAGTGTTACTAATACAAAAAGATTGTCGTTGTATCTTAAGAGTCGATTGTCATCATCCATGGGCACCATTGCGGGCACATTTGACTTAAGGATAAAGAATTCAACTATTACCTCGACTTTGCATACAATTCTTTTGGCATTGTTTTGACATTATTTTCCTTTGGTGTTTTCACTCATATCTTTACCGTTACACAATCCAAGTTTTGGTAAGGTTGGTAAGTTAATTTTTGGTTTAAAGTCATCACTCAAATCTATCATATTAATCAACAATCTTAAGTCGAATTTTCATTTGAGTGATAACTTTATTCTTGAGTTGTATTTGGTTAAACTGATTTTACTTTGGTTTATCTTCTTTTACTCTTTCTCGGATTTTGATTTTGATTTATCTTTTATTTTGTGTAAATAGAAATGAATACGGTTAATAATATCGATACTTTTTCGAACGATATTTCGAATATGAGAACTTCGGAAGGAATTGTACCTAACTTGATTCCTACTATCGTGATTCCTCCGATTACGGTTTCCTAGAATACATAATGAAAAATAAAAAAAAAATTAAATTTGTTTTTTTATCTTTCAATAAAGTTTATAAATTTAATGAAAACTCTATTAAACCTTAAGAGGGAAATATGTGGACAAAAGTTTGACGACTTCAATTGAAAATGACTACCTATATACATAAGTTAGAAACGAACGAATTGGTGGCTTCAACTAAGAATGTGAATTTTAACCTTCCGACTTGAAAGAGATTAACAAATGAAATAGAGTCGTTAACTATAAGTATCAACAGTGACTACTTTTTATCGACAAACGAGCAAAACTCAAGTTACAATTTAAATCAACTTTTTTTCTTTATTAATTGAATATTCATTTCTTCGTTATGAACAATTCTTTTTAAGATTGCATAAAATATCGAAATAACATTTCAGTTCGATCAATTTCTGGTATTTTCAATATTCAAATAGTGTCGAATAGTCTCAAATTGGATATTGAATAATTGTATCGGTCCACATTTTCCTTTGTGTCTCCATTCAACCTACAGGTTTGGTTAAATAAAGAGAGCTATAGGGGAGCAGCCATCTAGAAAACAACCATGAAAAAATGGTCCACTCACAATATGCCATGTCCGGGCGGAGATAGGGGTGGGCTGGGGTGGGCAAGGGTGGGCCAAATTTTGTTAAAAAAAAAAAAAATTGGTTATGGTCCATTTTTTTCTACTGTCCAACTCAATAACCACCCGTACCATTGAATCCTGGCTCCACCACTAAATTGTCCCCAATAATTTGGGACTAACAATGAATATTAGCAGAAAATTTGGTAGAATATGATTTTCATCGATCTCCGAAGTCTTTCAGAATGAAGAAGAATGTTTCGAGGATTAGAAATCAAGCATGTGGCAGCTAAACTTAATATTCTTGGTATCAAAGGGAAGGTGGGCCGTCATGGATACTAATAGAAATAGGACGGTAGAAAGGTTACCGAGCTTGGACCTCAATAGCCTTTTTGGAGGCAAAGTAATTGTACCTTAAAATCAAACCTCAAAAAGGGTCAATACCATTTGGGTACATAGTGACTTGAGGGATCACAGATTGTACAACAAGCATTTGAATTATGGAATGTTGCAAAACAAAATGTTAAATATTCACACAAATATGCTTTCCTTCTAGAAGCGGGTTTATTGGCTCTCCATCACATTTAATTGGCTAATACTCCACTTTAAAGTTGTAGAAATAATTATTAATACAAAAAATAATAATAATAAAATTCAAACTATGGAAGAGGCATACGACGACCTGACCTCCAGCCAATGAAATACATAAAAGAGACCACATTATATTTCATGAGCACTTTTCATGATTTATGTAATCGTACATCTCCTCATAAACATCGTATGCTCTTCAACCCTATTTTTACTGTCATCTTCGGAGTATGTTAGTATAGATCCTAAATCTCTATTCAGAATGTCATAATACTTGTCAATATCTTCATGTTCATACTCATAACGAATGTCTCGTGTAGATGGAACAAAGCTAATTATTACACCTACCTCAAGTATAGAGGTCCCTTCACCTAAATTGATGCAATGATAATTTTTTCTAGGGCTGTCCGTGGGTCGATTCGGTTCGGTTTTGAAGAGACTTGAACCGACCCAAAACTTTCGGGTATTTAATAAATGGATCCGTCAGGTCCAAATATAATTATGGAACCGTTCGGGTTCGGTTCGGTTCCGTACTATAATTAATTTTTTGAATATTTACAGCAACACTACATAAATACAACTAATGATATTTCATTCGTAACTTTTACAAATTAACGTACCCCAATTCAAAAACATATAAATAACTAGCCGTCCAATAAGATTAATTCAATGCATATAAATACCAAAAAATAGATATTAATATTACAACAAAACTACATAAAGTATATTCATTTGCTTCAAATTAAAATGGGCTAATAGATTTTAAAAATGATTTGGGTTTTAAAATTAAAATTATGAAATAATCTGATTTATTTAATTAATTTGCTAATTTGTATAAAAAAAATAAAATAATTTAATTAATTCAATATAAAAAATAAAAAAATTATTTAGTTTCGGTTCTTTTTCGGTTTTTCGGTTCTTGGTCTAAACCAGAGACCCGACCCAAACTCATCGGTTCTCAATTTGGGTACCCGTTCGGGTATTTAATTTACGAAGAACCACTCGATTCGGTTCGAGATTTTTAGACACCCCTAATTTTTTCAATTTATTGAATGATTATCAAAACATGTATTATGTCTTCCTCAATACTATCTATGACTGGATTATTCACATGATCCAAATGCAAATGAAAATAACTTGTTACTCATATAAATAATCGTGCCTAATTGAATTATGTGGCAGACGGTAAGAGCCCAATACTTTACATGACAACAAGGACGACCATGTTATACGTATGGAGGCGACTCCTTCCCTTTGGTAAGAAACTGGACCGACCCCATTTGGGCAAACGTCCCATGTAGGAGCGGCCCTGATGAGGTAGGTGGCGACGAGATCCTTGGTAGATTTTGTGGTGAAATGATTGACAATACAATTCACTGTCAACGCCGCTTCTACATACCTACGCGGTCAAATCTCACTTGCACAAACTAGGACTTGTAGATGCGAAATGGGTCCTAGAATTTAATGTCTTGATTGATTGATTGATGTGTGCAGCAAGAAGGGTCAATCACTCTAATGAGGCCACGTGGTTTATCATCCGACGGGTTTCATTTATCCCACTCAAGTATAAAAGCTCGCACTTAGTGTCATTCAATGATAATGCAAGTTTAGACTTTCAAACCTATATTCTTGCTACATACACTTCAGTGTTTTACTCCCAAATCAACCCCCCTTTCATCAATTGGGGGTTCACTTTCTAAGCTCCTCCACACCATAAATTATTCATCTAGTCGGCTCGACCATTTAATTGACGACTTGCTCAAGTGTGTTGGGATTTAGCCTAAGTAGACGTGAGAAGTTTTGGGATCTGTTGATCACATCATTGATACAATTTTTGGGGTCAATATAACTTACCAAGTGGCGGCTACGGACCATCTAACTCCACCAACACTTAGTTACAGGATAATAAATATTGCATTTAATTATAAAGCAAATAAATTATCTTGACTGGATGCAACAATACCAAGATTTCAAATGGTCCAAGGTCAAACATCAATGATAACATAATCCATGCATGGAGGCTGTTTCTTAAACGAAAAAAATGCAGTCAAACGTGTGCAACAAGACCAACGTTACATCAGCTAGCTCAGCCCAGCCCCACACTGCCGCCGCTCTAGAAAAATTAACCATAATTCGAAACTCAAGTATCTCTCTCCCTCTGGCCATAGTATGAAAATTGTTGGAAGATTACTATATATATGACACCAAAAGGTAGGTGATATTCTCATTACATTAAACTTCAGTTTCAGTTCTTTCAAATTAACTGCTCAAAACTAACAATGGAGGCATATTCATATACATATCCACAAGAAGAGGAGAAAAAAGCTAAACAGTTACCTTCTTTTCTTACATCGCTCCATTCAGTTCGTAAGGTTCCAACAAAACCAATGAAGAAACCAATAGCACCATTCCCACCAACCCCACCAAAAATCTACAGTGTGGATCCTGTTAACTTTAAGGAAGTTGTTCAGAAGCTCACAGGTGCAGCACCTGAGTTCCATCACCAGGAGGTGGTGCCTCCCGCACTCGGCCTCTTATCAACCACAACCACCGACGTGGGTCCCAGGCGACCACCTATTGTTTATCCTTCGGTTAAAATGCCGTCGACTGAAGAAGTACTGTATAATGATCATATGGGTGAAACAGAAGAGGGGAAATCTTTTGGAGCAGTTGGGCTGAGTTTTTCGCCTTCTTCACTTGCATGGTATTCCTCCCTTTTTCCAAGTCCAAGAACTCTATCCTCTCTCGCCTCGAGTAGACTTTGATTGTATCATAAGAAACAAAATTATATTTTACAATATGCGTAGCCTCAATGGCACCGTAATACGATCTTGCTTCATATTTATATCATCTCTTTGCCGAAAAATTTATGACCGAGACTCCATCGTGAGTACAATACTACAATGTGAAGGAGTCGTTGAATGCATTTTAGCCTCCCTGTCAAGTATTATCCATGTTCAATAATTTAGATCATCAAATACACACTCGATCTATTGGCGATTTGGAACAATACCCTTATTCGAATTATACGATTTCCCAAAAACCAGTTATATTTAAGATATTTCGTAAGATGTTGACAAGATATATAAAAAATTGTAAAATAAACGTGTAACAGGAGCCTGCCTCCAATGCTTAGGCTTCCTCCATTTGGCAAAATTTTATAAATGGCCAAACTTAATTTTCAACCACACATTACATTGGATTGGATCACTTATCCACTACTCATTACTATTTATTACAAATTTAACCATTTGTAAATTCTTCCCAAATAGAGGTAGTCGTGACCTGTGGGCATGTGTAGTTGGTCAACAAAATCAGATGCAAACATTTATCATACACCAAGCAGCAGCTTCGTAGAAAATTCAGTTGGCTACTCTCTACTCAGGCTCAGGACATCCTCGACGTTCCAAAAGATTTATACATGGCAAGTACATCTTGCTTTCATTGCTAAATCCAGGTTACATTCTAATCAATCTCTTCGTTATCCCAATAATTCCTAAGCTGTGACATGTGTAAAAGAAGTTCATCTCTTCCCAACCCTGTAACACTGCTAGTCATTATCCCATGGAGGATGGTACCGATAGTTTTCTTTGATCAACTCTAGAAAATTTCTGATGTTCTCATCTGACCTTCTTCCTTTGCCTCCTTTCATTTTGTCACACTTCGTAAAAACAAAAGTTATGGATATCTGAAAAGTCGAGCGAAGAAGGAAAACCATAAGACATAACAGCAATTTGATTTGTAACAATGATTAAACTACAGGTAGATTATTTGAGAATAAAAGCTGCATACATTGTTCCGACCAAGCCAATTAGCACTATCAAGGTCTATCTTCTGAGGTGGAACACTTGCATCTATTAAAAGCAGGACTGAGACGAGTTTCTCAATTCACGAAGTAACCTTTTGTGAATGAGGACCAGTCCATTCTAGCAGATTCTGGCATTAGCAAAACCGTAAAAAAAAAATTGGCCTTATCAGAGAGAGGACTTGGTTGTACCAAGGCCAATATTCATTAATCAAATGTACTTTAACATTTGCCATTACAAAGGTACAGAAGTTACATAACAGTCTAATTGTGTAAACATTTAGAAAAAATAAAGAACCAGTAAGTGCACAAGCTAAATCTTTTAAATAGTGTAAACATTTATGGAAAAAAATAAAAAATGTAGAGAAGAGAACATCTAAACTCAAAATTTATCTCAAAGCTAGGACTGTGGCTTTTGGGGATGTAACCTATAAACAGGGGCGGACGCAGAACATTTA